GAGATTTTTTTTTTTTTGGAGGGAGGTGTTTTGTTTTGTTTTATGGATCACCAGAAGCGTGCTCCAGTTAGGTTTTTGTGACAAAATATAATTTGGTTTCCCTCAGGGGATAGGCAAAACTAATTAGAATATTACTTTGCCATGGTTACGCCTAAGAGCTCAGTAGAGCAAAAGGAGCTATGGAGTGAAAAAAAGGGTTACATCAAGATTTTTTGCTAACTTAGTTTTTATCATTTCTGGGGGTTTTGCTTTGAAAGTATAGCTACTGGTAACAAAACTACTGAAATTGGAAGGCTAAAGTAATACAAATTCTTGAACTTGAACATTATCTATTAGAACCTCAACTACTGTAAAAATTAAATTTATTTCCATTTAGGACATGGCTGTCTAAAGTGTTAGCTTATAGAAAGATGTAATTTTTAAACACTTCAAAAAGTGTGCTGGAATTGCTGCAGAGGAGAATCTCATCAGCTGTTACAATGTAACTGTTACCTCTGCATGCTTCTGTAGCCAGGCAGGTGAGCTAAATTGCTCCAACTTTAACTCTAAATGAAGCAGTGTTAAAGCTGCAACAGTTTTGCTATACATTTACAATTAAATTGCTGTGGCTTTTATCCATATAATTTGATTCTGATATAACTCTTATGCTTATCTACAACTTCAACAGATAGTCGGGACCCATACGTTGTCAACCCTTACCATAGATCATTTAAAATGGTGTTGGGATTTAGTTACCACAGTCCCAATATATTAGCTAGGAGTCAGGTGGCTGAATATTCAAAACTTACACCCAGCATGTCACTTGTATCTTTATTTGTATTAAAGTGCAGTGGTTCAGTTTGCTGTCCTGTTTTTTTTTCCCTATAGGTATCACAATCTTAGGGCTGTACAGAATAGGAGGTGTGAATTCTAAAGTGCAAAAGCTAATGAATACCATATTTTGTAAGTATTATGAATGAACATCAGTCTGTAATATGCACCATGTATATTTTGAACATGACTTATTTTACTGCATCTACTCAAATTAGTCTGGTTTGTACATGCAGTTACAGGCAGAAAATTAAGCATGCATTTTAGTTCTATTTTACATCAATCATAGAAAATGAGGATTGGAAGGGACCTCAGGAGGTCATCTAGTCCAATCCCCTGCTCAAAGCAAAACCATCCTCAACTAGATCATCCCAGCCAAGGCTTTGTCTTGCCAGATTTTGAAACCTCCAAAGATAGAGCTTCTACCACCTCTCTGGGTAACCTGATCCAGTGGTTTACCACCCTCCTAATGGGAAAATTCTTCCTAATATCTAACCAAAACTTCCCTTGCTGAAACTTGAGATGGTTGCTCCTTGTTCTGTCACCTACCACTACTGAGAACCGTCTACCTCCATCTTCTTTTGAACCCCCCACCCTTCAGGTAGTTGAAGGCTGCTATTAAATCCTCTCTCCATCTTCTCTTCTGTAGACTAAATAAGCCTAGTTCCCTCAGTCTTTCCTCATAAGTCATGTCCCCCAGCCCCTCACCATTTTCATTGCCCTCCACTGAACTCTCTCCAATTTTTCCACATCCTTTCTTTAGTGAGAGGCCCAAAAACTGAACAGAGTACTCCAGATGTGGCCTCACCAGTGCTGAATAACAGGGAATAATCACTTCTCTGGACCTATTGGCAACACACCCACCAATGCAGCCCAGTGTACCATTAGCTTTCCTGGCAACAAGGGCACACTGCTGGCTCATGTTCAGGTTATTGTCCACTGTAACTTCCAGATCCTTTTCTGCAGAACTACTGCCCAGCCAGTCAGCCCCCAGCCTGGACCAGTGCATGGGATTGTTCCATCCGTAGTGCAGGGCTTTGCACTTGTCCTTGTTGAACCTCAGGAGATTCCTTTTGGCCCAGTCCTTCAATTTGTCTAGATCACTCTGAATCCTAGGCCTGCCCTCCAGCATATTTACTACCCCCCACCCCCCCCGAGCTTGGCATCATCTGCAAACTTGCTGAAGCTGCCCTCTATGCCATCTTCCAGGTTATTGATGAAGATATGAACAAAACTGGCCCCAGGACTGACCTCTGGGGCACTCCACTTGATACCAGCTGCCAACTAGAAATTGAGCTACCCTCAGAGCCCACTGCCCCCTAACAGTCAATTCATCCTACCAACCCATATTTCCTTAGCTTGCCTGAGAAAATGTTGTAGGAGACCATATCAAAAGCCTTGCTAAAAGCAAGGCTTACTACATCCACTCATCTCCCCGCATCCACAAAGCCACTCATTTCATCATAGAAGGCAATCAGGTTGGTCAGGCATGACTTGCCCTTGGTGAGTCCATGCTGACTGTTCCTAGCCACCTTTTTCTCCTCCAAGTGCTTAGATATGGATTCCCTGAGAATCTGCTCCATAATTTTTCCAGGGACTGAAGTAAAGCTGACTGGTCTGTAATTCTCTGGATCTTCCTTTTTCCTTTCTTAAATATGGGCACTGTGTTTGCCCTTCTCCAATCATCTGGGACCTCTCCTGATCACCATGAGTTTTCAAAGATGATGGCCAGTGGCTCTGCAGTCACATCAGTTAACTCCTTCAACACCCTCGGGTACATCCCATCCAGCCCCATGGACTTGCATATGTCCTGTTTTTCTAAATAGTCCCTCACCTTCAAACAGTATCTTAGTTTATAAATGTATTCTTTTGGTGGTCCTGGAGTTTTTCTTACCTTGCCAGTTTGTCTCTATGCACCCTCCTTTTGAAGATTACTCTGCATCAGAACCCATATACCAACTTTCATTTAGCGTTTGCTTTGTTATTTTTACACATAGCTGACATTCCCATATACTGAAAACTGTTTATTTTATTAATACTTTGACAAGGTGTAGAAGCTTTTAAAGTGTGCTCAAGTTGTTAGTTATTTGGGGCATAAAGTATTCAGGTTAATTGAATGCCTTATATGTTCAACTATTTAATGTGCTGCTTTTCTAGTTGTCTTGTTAATCAAAGTATAACACACTCATTCAATTTTTACCAGCCCCTAAATCTCCTCCTGATATGGATATTGATATGGAACTTTGGGACAACAAAACAATAACAAGTGGACTTAAAAACTACCTCAGGTGAGTATGGTACTCTATAGGAATCTGCATATTCCTTTTATCCTGTTAATCCTTGTTTATTAATATTGTGTTACATTTCTTGCACTCATGAAAACACTACTGAAGACGCATTATTTTGTCTTGTTTAATATCCCAGCAATTTTTATTAATAAATCTCCATTTGATCATAGAATCTTCTGGTTCTGTTCTTGTAGAATTTTATATTTGGAATAGAACAAGTTAAGTGCTTGTAGTAATTTTATACATCTTTTTTCTCACCTTCCAAGCCAGAAAATAATGAACGTTTCTAATTTGTTAAATCCTTTATCTAAACAGCATACACGGCATGACATTTCACAAATTGGTTCAAGTAGGATAAAAAATTGTAGAACTGTAAAAACGTTCATTCTTATATTTTAGTCTGTGATACTGATTGTTTCAAAAGGCTAGGTAAAATGTGTCCCCCAAATTAGTCAATTATCTCCAAGCATTTAACAGTTAACAAATACATGTACACATGAGTCAAGATTTTCAGAAACAACCTGGGGGTGCCTCTGTGTTTGGATCCCAACCTGGGATATGTTAAAAGAACCAAGTTATCAGAGGGTGAATGCTCTAAAAACCACATGACTTTGGGTCACTATAAGGACTTGTCATGGGAATACTAAAAGAAAGGGTTTGGCCACAGTGAAAAAAAAATAGATGCCATTACTTTATCAGTACAAATCACTGTCTTTGCTTATTTTAAAACTGCAAAATTAATAATGTCAGCAATAGCAATTTGTATTACTATGATTCAGAGATTACCATTTAAAAGAAGAGTCTTTCCAGTCTAGTATGTATCAGTATATTAGTACCAAACTGAAGTTACTCAAGGTTGGGCACATCTACACATGCTATTAATGCACATAAAATACTGTGCCTTTCCTGCAAGCACGACTACACATGCACCCTGCTGGAAGCTAATCTGCTCCCAATAAGAACAACCTGGTACAGGGCTGCTCCTGCCCTACTCTGCCCCCCTGCAGCAGCCATGGGGAGTCCCAGGCTTCCCCAGGGTGCTAGCCTGGGGACTGGCAGGGGTCATGGTGCCAGGAGAGCTCTGCATGGGAGGGGTCCTGATGTGCAGGGGCTGGGAGACAGCTGCCGCTGTAGTTGGCAGAGCTCTCCCACTACATGCACATCCAGACACACTGATGCCAGCCAACCTGGTGCTCAAGGGGGCTTCCCCCCACCCCCAACAAGGGGTTGGCAGGGAGCTGTCCTTCTGGTGGGGCAGCTGCCAGTGAGCCCCAAGCTGGGTGGGAACTGAAGATTAGTCTACTGCACTGTAAAGTATCTCATGTAGATGTGCCCAATAAGTTCTCTAAAAGCCACATGGCTTAGGGTCACTATCAAGACTTGTAATGGAAATACTAACAGAAAGGGTTTGGTCACACTGAAAAAGAATAGAAGGTGCCATTTCTTTATTCATACAAATCACTGTCTTTAATTTTTTTGTAGTTTTAAAATAAGCAATGTCAACAATAATGATTTTGATTACTGTGATTCAGAAATTGCCTTTTAAAAGAAGAGACTTTCCAGTTCAGTATATATCAGTATATTGGTACCAAACTGAAGTTGCTAAAGATTGGGCACATCTATGCATACCTATTCATGTGCTGCAATACACTCCAGTGCTTATCTCACTGAAATTTATTGCTGCTGGGTGCGCATCTGCACATGCGCCCAGGATCGCGACATGTTGAGCTTGGACTGCGCAGCCCCAACTGGCAAGGGGCCCAAAGAGTCAGCCTGCCAGCCCAGGGCTGCTCCTCCCAGTAAAACATGCTGCGGAGGGGCTGGCTGGGGCACAAGAGTTCTTCACTGTGGAGCCAGAGAGCAGCCAGCCCCCACACTGAAGTACCCTTGTGGCCCAGCCAGCCAGGGCATTTGTGCTGTGGCAGAACGTTTTACTCTGCAGCAGAATAGTACTTGTATTTATAAGTACTATCCAGCTGCGAAGTAAATTAGTTTACTCCAGCCTAAAAGGGACACATATGTAAGTCAACTGTGCAGTAAACTTCTCATGTAGACATTTCTGTTGAGACTTAAAATGTGATGGTCTCTTCAGTATTCCATCTTCAGTAAAAATTACACCTGGGCTCAGCAGAGTTTTTTTCTGATTTACGACAATGTAAGTTAGAAGAAAAGGCCTTTTTTGCTAAAGATTGCTGCTAGACCATTTTTTTCTTACAGAGTGGCCCTGAATTTAGCTAGAAAAGATTTTTGCCAGGCCTTAACTATGACTGAATGATGCTGTGCTGTTAGCCTATAGGCAGTGAATCAAATTGGATGGGATGTAAGTATTAGCTTCCAAACACAAATTTGAAAATTTAAAGACTTCTAAATAGAATTATAATGACAAAAAGTGTGGGAAAAGGTTTAAAAAAGAGATCAGATTGCTAAAATCTGCTTTTTTAATTTTATGACCAGGTGTCTTACAGAACCACTAATGACCTTCAAGTTGCACAAGGATTTCATTCTTGCTGTTAGTAAGTAAAATACTAAATAAATTAATATGTCTTCATGAAAATGATCCAAATCCATCTCTCTCAACAACCAATATTAAAGAAAATTTTCCTGATGTACCTGTTCCTGTTTTGTTTTAAATGGCCCAGGGAATGACTCAAATTACTGGATTTCAAGAGGTATGGAGTATTATTTCTTATGTTAACACAGTAGCACTTTGAACCCACTATGGTAGTCCTCACTCTTATATGTTCTGTACAAGCATAATAATCCTGGGGAGCTTACAGTTGAAGTGTGTGTGTGTGTGCATGCGCACGTATGTGTATGCATACATGTGCAAGCATATGTGTGAGCAGTATGCGTCAGCAGTAAATATAAAATGGGGGGAGGGAGGTTGCATAAAACATGCATGTTTTTCCTCCAGATCATATGGGGAAAATTCAGGGACACATTATATGCAAGAAATACAAATCCCCATTAATTGCCATGACCCTCAGAGTGGTTCTGGGAGCCATAGCAATTAACATTGCTACTACCCCTGCTCCCAAATCTCAGGATCCCTGGAAAACCTCGTGGCTAGCTAAAATGATGCTGTGCTGTGCATGCTGCATCAGGTTGGTGTGCAGGGTCAGTCCATGGTCAAACCTCTATGTGGCCCCAGCCCTAGTGCACAGCCTCAATCCTAGCATATGGGTTTGGACCCAAATTGTGCTCCAGCATGCCAGATCAGGACCCTGCTGATCTCTGTAGCATCTTCTAAGTGCTTCATTAACACCAAATGTATTACCACAAAAACTTTTTGAGATGAAGGGGTAGCGCTATCTTTTCATACAGATGGGGAACTGAGGTACAGAGAATAAAGTTAAATATGTACACTATTTTATGTGTTCTGTGAAGGCTCCTAGGATATCATTTGAAAGGGACTGTAATATTAGTATATTAATATATTAATTTATATAGTACCTTTCATATTTGAGGCACAATTCCTGTTGACTTAGTTGTAATAGGAAGTGCCTAGCACTTCTGAAATCAGGCCTCAGGGTCTCAAATTAGGTACCTAGATACCTGGGAACACACAATTAGTGACCAGCTATGAATAGTTTATTTAAGTGACTTGCTAAACATTGTGTAGGAATTCTATATGCATGCAGAGCTAGAGTCCAGTTCTTCAGGGCAGCTTTCAGTTGCTTTAACCAAGAGACATCATCCTTTCTTTTCCTGTATTTCCGTTTCATTCACTTTGTACCTTTTGACTTCTGCAACAAGTGAACCTACAAATGGTAGATTCTTCTGTTATACACCCTGATTCAACAAGGCATGTTCACCCCGTACACTAAATTTGTCTTGTTCTAAAAATTGTATGTAAATCATATAACCAAAGACTTAAACGTAATGCATATGAATAAGGAGGCCAAATCAAGGGTTGCACAAAAGATCTCATGCAATTTTTCTAGTCCCATATAAAATGAGTGGGATAAGCCTTAAGGGAGGATAGGACACTTTGGAAGTGGTCTTCATAGATATTTGCTTACAACAAAGGAATGGTTGCCCTCAAAAATCTTGGTGTGGAAAGGAGTGTGCCTTCATGGGCCAGGCTCCATCCACTTCCCTTAAGCTTGGCCTCTTTTGTAATGTCATTTCTCCTTCTATATCTGCATCCTGGTCTTATTTGTCTTACCTAGTAGCTTCTAGTCATCACTGCTTATCCTGCTCTCCCTGGTCCTGGTCTCCTTGTCTGTAGAATTCCACAGCTCCTCGGTCTTCCTACCCGATCCAGTGGCTTCCAGTAATAATCCCTTTTTTTCTTTTCTGGCTTCCAGTGCTAGATTTTTTGCCCAGTCCCCCCTGGTCTTTTTTCTACAGCTCTCAAATCCAGTTTTCACCCCCCTCTGCCTCCCCCCCCCCC